ACACATTTCTTTATTCCGTCCAGTAGTTGAGCTGAACTGAGATCATACGGTCGTGCTCTAGAAGAGATAGGCTTATCTGTTTCTAAAGTCGGTTGTACTGACACAAAGAATTGCTGATATTATATTAAATTATATATAATATATCTACAAACGTATGCTTTAATTCTTCATCCATGTTTGGACTAGACTTAATCCACTTCGTCTCAAATCACTATAGAATCGTTTAACCATAATGTTCGACCAGCACATGGGGTTTAATTCCGATCCCATATTCACGAATAATCAGGTATTCCTAGACTTGAGCAGTGTTTAGAAATCTAATGCGATATTACATATCGTCCCTCATGAACCAGACTTTTACCCCTCTATACCTCAAAAAATTAACAATCTACCACAGATTGTCTTCAACAGGGTTTTTTAATATCCCCCAAACCTTTAAGTGAACAAATGAGTAATCAAAATCTTAAAAAATTGAGTAGGGTCGGCAGCTACTTCTATAGGTAGCCTTATTTATACATCAACTGCATTTCTTCTGACATTCCCTAATTAGATGGAAACACCTAGTTTTCAAACAAAAATAAATCAACATACTGGGTCTCCACTCAAGCTCTCAGTTACATAGTCATGGAGCCTAAGTACCCATCCTCTGCGACATCTTGGAGTGGGTTACTACGTTTCTGTCCCACACTTGTCAAACAATTTATCAAAAAGCCATTAAGATTATTAGGATCATCTTTACCCAACATAACAGCAGGCAAACGGCACATTTTTTCACAAGCAAGCATAGTCCCGTAGTTTCCAGATAACGAATAATCTCACAGAGCAGAAATGGATTAGAAAACTCCAAATTGGACCATTCATAAAGACTAATCGAACTGAAAGACAAGATCAAGAATTATGAAAAGATGGACAAAAGTTGATGATAAGTTGAACTCCGAGACAAACGGTAACTGCTAGACTTGGTAGATTCGTTACCCAGTATTAAGAACTGAAGACTAAATATTCCATCATCAATCTGCTACCGAACATGAAAATAGAATGGACATCTACTCAGAGTTCAAATTCAATATCACAAGCTCCAAACGCATTGCACGCGATAATTATCACTCAGCTATTATAGCTGAATAAAAGATTCTGAAACCAGTAATAATAATAAATAACATTCATTTTTCGGATTGACATTTCTCCACAAATCCTTACCAACCATAATATAAGTGACTCTAGGCGAGGTATTTGAAACAAACAGACCCAGCCTAGATGAGAAAATGTGCCCTGAAAAAATGGACTCTTTTTGTGACAAATAACACCAATAGATCCCTCACCGCAACTCCTCTGAGATCAGTTATGATATAGTGACACGATCTTCACTAGCTGGAACATATAACTTGGGGTTCCCTCACTAATTCTATGACACTGTGGTCCATTTCTCTTTTTAATACAACAGTACCCAAACAGTACTACGCTTTCATGGCGAACCACTCATCCACATGTGTTTGGTAAGTGTACCTAAAATGTAGGCGAAATCCTTCAATTTAATCGATGATATAGAAATATCAGGCTTCACATACAATACCGAAACCGCCTATGTCTTTCCACGACAGTACAAAATACATTGAACCCAATGGTCAGAAGGGTAATAATAATAGCCATAATGAAAAAGAATAACGACGCAGACGCACAAATAAACTCGTCTAAGAGACAGTGAACGAAGTTCCCTAATTCCTTTCCCACCTCAGCTTAGAAGAGCATGATACGGGAAAGCAAGAAAGCTTCCAACAGGCAGCAAAGAAGTAAATAACGCAGCTTACTTGGTATGAGGACCAGCAAAGCTATTTTTTGTTAGTATGTTTGCTAAAAATAGGACGGAAGATGAACTCATCCATCAATAGATACTGGACCCTGTTCACATAGCATAAGGAACCGTCTTCGTGTCACAGAACCCAGAGCTTGAGAATTATTCAGCTACTAGAGTTTTGCAATGACAAGTGGTTGTTAATACGAAAAACTTCAAGGAAACCCCCAAAACTAGACAAGAACGATCTAGCATAGTGGTCTGCGGAGTCTTAGGGCTAACATGATGAATTCCAGAGAAGTGTTATGTGAACTAAATAACAGTGGTGTGGATTATCACATCCCCAAGACATACACAAAATGAAAGCCATAAGTACTTTCTGACCTCCCCGCCCATCGCAACTCACTACACCTGAGTCTTGCGTTTATTACTCATGAACGTCAGAAACTGTGAGGACTTAACACGAATTCCCTAGACATGACACAACGATGCATTACAACCAACCAGCCTCCTAATATGCAATAGCATACCCAACTTTATCACAAGCTTATATAAATTGACTAATTCTTTGGCGCTCGGTTCTTGTCGTTTCTCTCCGGTTCAGAAGAAACACAAGGCAAAACCACTACTCATGTAACTGTCCATGGCAGGCAGTTGATTGGTGCGTGTTGTGCGTCCTTGAGCTTGACAAAGGTCGGCAAACTGCTCGACGTTCAGTGACTTGCCTGCAGGATGAGTTTGCTAGGGACAGATGACACTACATTATCCATGCATACAAATCACCAAGTTGCCTTCAGACTAACTCCAAGTCACTCATTTGTCTTGATCATTGATTTTCAGATAGAAAATACCACAAAAAAGGTGGGTAGCCTCAAGATTAACTATGACAAACACGTACCGATCCATGGAAACAATCTCCCACGTGGGCGAGCCCAATCTGGGGGATATCTCTTAAGTGGCCTAGCACTACTATCATCATACACCACTGACTCATCCCTATCTAGCTTTTAATCATCATTAGTTGTTAAAAAACATAAAAGCTTAGGAGTCATAATAAGCCATGAATTGAAAACAATTACGCATTGCAACGCAGCTGCTGTCAAAGGTTTTAGTGCGTTATGGTCACTTCACCGAGCATTCAAATGCTTTGACGAAGAAATTTTTTCAAATTTTATATCTCACCTATGTAAGACCACACTTAGAGTACTGTATCCAAACAGACAGCCTATGCCTGATAAAGGATACCAACTCAGTTGGGCGTGTTCGCCGTGTGGGGACAAAATTAATGAAGGGTCTTTCTAAACTCCCTTACGATGAACGCTTCAAATGGTTCAAATGGTTGTGGACGGAATAGAAGAAGCTTTCGCTTAACAGGCTTCCGTGTCTAGTAGCAGGGGATCACCAAATCCTCCAGGCAGGAACCTAGGTATGTTAACAATAAAAGAGGAAAAGAAATTGGTAAATCATAGTGTGGTGCTTTCCTTGGTCCTTAAGAATAGGTCAAGTTGCCTCTTGAAGGACTCCTGAGAAGTCGCTTGGACTAGCTCGGCCGGCAGCGAATTCCAGCTTTTGTTAACTCTTAAGGAGTAGAAGTTGTGTCTACATTCCGTCTTGCTATGTTGTGTTTCCAGTTTCTGGGTGTTACCCCTTAGGTTATTATTCGAACTAAGCTTAAGTAGGTGTTTAAGAGGATGTCCAGAAGTGTTAAGAATACTATAAGCCATTAATAAATCACCTCTAAGACGCCTATATTCTAGTGGGTAAAGGTCTGGTGAACGGAGGCGTTCTTCGTAAGGCTTAGATTTGAGTCCTCGAACTGATTTCGTGGCTCGCCGTTGGATACGCTCCAAAGTGACCTTGTCCTTTTGGAGTGAGGGGGAGTACTATGTTTCCGTTCTCTAAATGGGGACGGATGAAACTATTGAAGATTGTGTGGAAAGTTCTTCCGTCAAACTGGCCAAAAATGCGCCTCAGCGTTACCAGTGCAAGGTTTGCTCGGAAGGCATTTTTGTCACAGTTAGCGTAAGACTTTAAGTCATGGGGCACCAGGACTCCTAAATCCTTTTCGACTTGGGATACTACTTGAGAGGAGTTTACTAAGTTGTAACTGTAGTTTGCGACATGCCGCAGATGGACTACTTTACACTTTGAAGTGTTAAAGGTAAGTCCGTTATCGTCTGCCCAACTTTGAAGTCGAGTCAGATCCTCCTGAAGTGCCTGTGTATCGTCTTGGTTGCGTATCTCTCTCCAAAGTTTCACGTCGTCGGCAAAAAGTAATAAGTCTGACGTTACCTGTTGAGGAAGATCATTTATGTAGATCAAGAAGAGAAGAGGCCCTAGTACTGAGCCCTGGGGGACCCCACTAGGACATTCCATAGCCTGAGATAAAGTGAAATTAACCCTAACCTTAAAGTGTCGATTTTTTAGGTATGAAGTAAGCCAATCGATTAGAGGTGGTTTGATACCTAGTCGTTTGAGCTTGTTGATAAGATACAAGTGATTAACCTTATCAAAAGCTTTTGAGAAATCAAGGTAAATGACATCAACCTTTCCCTTGCAATCGAGGATGCTTGTCCATCTGTCCACTGCAGTCAGCAGGTTGGTTATACAAGAGTAACCCTTCCTGAAACCATGATGTTGGGGTGAGAAGAAATTTAAGGACAGTAGATAGTCGTTTAAACCGTCGCATATCAGGGACTCCATGAGTTTTGAAGGTAATGACAGAAGAGCCACCGGCCACCAGCGTCTAAATCTTTCCCCCTTGTTGTATCGCAGGTCTCGAGGTGAACTTATACTGGCATTTCGCATCTTCAATTGCAACTTGGGTGTTAATGTCTTATCTTTTAACTCCTACCAGCACTATTAATCTCCAAGGCCATGGCAAGAAGGTTCACAAACTGCGATCTAATAAACTTAAAAATGGGGTCCCGTATTTCTCATCGAGTAGTCAATGACTGGAACACCTTGCTTGAACAAGTAACATCAGCCTCGTCAGTGAATATTTTCAAGGAGAAGCTGGACCTTCAATGGAAGGCAATCTGTCAGGATTGACAGAGGTTCATCAACCTACTCTCCTTATTACTGAAAACTAATACAGTTGAGTGTCTAAATTACCGCCTACGACATTCTACCAAAAACCTATGCTCTTTTTGAAAAAACAAGAAGCGAGCGCAAAGAAATCAACTGCTTTATGAAAGCCTATCAGTAAGGCATTGGGTATTGAATGCGGTTATTTAAAAAGACAAGGACATAACAGTCATTTTCTTAGTATTTTACCAGACATATGCAAGACGAACAAGCAGTCAGGAGGATTTTTGAAACGTAAATGTTAAAATTACTTCAGTGACGTTCATTTCAGTGTAGACAGGAACAGAGACGGAAATATTGATCACACGGAGCTACAGTCGGCACTATCAAATGGTATGCAAACGTGTTGCATAGTAACAGCAATTTTATTGTTTTGTCTCCTTGTAAGTACTTGGAAAAAAGTAGTATGAAGTAGTCTATTCTTCCAAACTTTCCTTTTAACTCTTCATCCTTCAAGAGTCTTGGGCCATTTAAGAGTCCGTATACACCAACTTCAAGTGTCGACTCAACTCTTGGATATGTAAAATTTCTTCATATCAGTTGGGCACTTCATAAGTGTGATGGACTCCGTAATGGCTTGTATTTTCAAGCAATACATTTTAACAGTCTGATAACACTCAACATTGAAACTTAATTATCAGGATTGGGTGGTCAGTATTAGTTGATATCGTAATTCTTACAACTCAGGATTAAGCGCAATAGCGAGTATCTGCGGTTGTAGATATCACATCGTTTATTAGATGACGCATTAAGGTATGTCCCATCACGATCAAAAGTATCCTGCTGTCTGATGTGTGGAATCACTAATGATGTCTACGAAATTTAAGGTAGATGTGTTAAAGTCCTATGCAATCAACAGTCGACTTTCACTGTCGGATTCAGTTTGTCTTAACGCAAAGCATTTAGATGAACAGAGTAGAACAGAATATGACATACCACCTGGGAGATGTACAACTGGCTACCCCCCACCAAGTCTTGGTACAGTGAGGTTTAAAAGTTAAAATGTTGTCTAGAGTTTTTATGCAAAACAATGCCCCCACTTTACAGCATTCTCTATCAATTCATAGGAACCTCTAACCCAACTATATGTAAGCAGTGCTCAAATCTTTCATCGGTGACAATAGTGAATTGACTTTGATCACACTCTAAACCTTCTACTTCACTCAACTTACTTCCAGGACTTCTGTCGTTCACAAACAAAGCTTTTCGTTTATACGATATATCTGTATATTCCCTGATAGAATTCACCTCCAAGATCTGACTACCTTATAATATCAGTCGGTTTTCCTCTTCGTACTCCTGGATTTTCGCCTACTCACTGTTCGGTTCCTTTTTATCGTCTCATAAATATCGCATCTTTTCAGGACATCGGCTTGGTTATTTACTGTTGCTCTTTATTTCCCTAGAAATTACAAGAATCTGCTACATTTAAGTTTTAGGTCCATATAATTGAGCTTGTTAGTTGCTATTAAATGTTATAAAGATTCTATGACTTTTCTGACTGAGTTCTTTTATCGTGAAGTTTTACAGTGGCTAATTAAGTAGCTAAACAGCGAAATCAAGTTTGTTGTAATCACGTTAGTTTGCACAGTTTTTTCACTACAAAAACTTCCTTTTAATTATATTTTGGCAATTCTTGTATTTTACCAACTTAGTCAATATTTCAGGATTAGAAACATTTCTCAGTTAACAATTATTCTGCTAATTTTTAAAGGTATAGGTACACCGTTCAACACCAGAACTGTTCAGCTGATGATTTCAATGTTTGACCAAGACAGAAATGGAACCATTGACTTAAGAGAGTTCGCCTATTTATTCAAATATGTTCAGGATTGGCAACGGTGTTTTCGTCAATATGATCAGGATAGATCTGGATTACTCGATGCTAGAGAGTTCCAAAGTGCATTGTCCTGTTTTGGTTACCGACTCTCTCCTTGTTTTATAAAAATGATGATCAGTCGTTTCGACCGTAATAAACAAGGACAGATCGCCTTCGATGACTTTATTTTTGCTTGTGTATGTCTCCAAGTAAGTACATATATAGTACTTAAGTGAACTAAATCACTGGAAATAAACCTTTTATTAAGTCCAGTAGTTAAAATATAAAAAGGTAGACTGTTTAAGATTAAGGCGAAAATCCATATTGAATCTTCATCTCGAAATTAGATGCGTTTAATTAGAGGGGTTCGACTTTTAGTATATTTTCACTCACGATAATGGCTACCACCATTGAATTTTGCATGATCAGATGATAATTAGTAACTTTACTTGTCATTTAGTGTTATTACAGAGCGAGCTGTTATTTTTTTGTATTGTATGATTATTAGACAACTGATTTATTGTACTCCTATATTCCTTGTATTGTGAGCTTTCTTTGAACTTATTGGTTATCTTTTTTATTGTTCCGTAATTTTTGTTGATTATTTACTCACCTTTTAACCCGTCCGCTGCCACGTATGGTGGAATTTTCTCTAAAGTTTGATTTCTTATTTGAGGTACGTCACGTTCTGATAGTTAACGCATATAAACTAGCGAATATTTGGTGTAAAAAATATGTAGATTGGGTGTCTGAAATATGACAAGTTTTCCCACTCTGTTCTCTTGTTCGAACATAAGACTAACAATAGATGTGAACCAAAAAGAGTCAAGATTGTCTCAGCCTCAATTCAATGTTAATCTTGTCAGTAGAATCGTATCATTAGTCAAAGATTAGGACCATAAGTTATAGGCAACATACTACACACGAGGTGGAGAAACTATTACCAGGATTCTGAGTGAAACACTATTCAAGTATGGTTTAGCTTTATCGCTGTAACATTAAACGATGCGGTTAGGTTTATTTAGTTTGACATTAAAATATTAAGGGTTTACTGTAAAATACACGATGCTGCAAAAATGGAATTCCTCATCTAATGCCGTCACCTGGTAGGTGCAAGTTACTTGGTTTAGGTTCGCGCGGTCACTGTAACCAATGGTTAGATACGTTATGTGATATGGTCCAGAATCAATCTCACTGATTTGATCCTGTCCACTCTTTGTCCTCCCTTAAACCCCAGTTCCTAAAAATATCTTACACTTCTGTTTTGTCCTTCATGTTCCTTCTTATTGAATCATATTGTCTACGGCTAATATTTCCTACTACGACTGATATTGTTGCTGCTTCTAATACTCCGGTACTTAACAACTTTATCATTGTGTTGATATGTTGTGACAATATGAACCAGTCCTCATATTTTCCAGGTTCTGCGTTAGCTTACGACCAACTGAATCAGTTAACAATCAGTGTCCGTAAGTTTGGCATGCACTTTCCATCTTCTAAGTGGAAGCCACTTCTATGTGACCGACAACAACATGTGGACACACTCGCTCTGTGGAGATCCGTTAGGAATAGTTGGTTATTGTATGAGTGCTGATGTTGGCGTGACAAATGGCATCAACTTACTTACAGCAAGTCTTAGCGATTTATGCCAATCTGAGTCTGTGTGATGTCAGTCTGGTTGTAAAAGGTCGGGTTTGTAGCTTGTCGGTGGGAACAGTTTTTCTCTATGCTTGTGAATATAATTTCCGGTAAATATCGTCATCGCCAAATGTTAGAACACCGTCATACTTATCAGAGTCCAACAATCATACTGTTTCTTGACATCCTTTCCAGATTAATTTTTCATTCAGATTGTTTATAGAATTAACATGTGCAAATATAAACATCTAGTTCTTAATTCTAAATATTCCTTCTCTCTAAATCAATCTTTTGTCTTCTTTTCTTATAGATTCTCACAAACTCTTTTAGACGATATGATATAAATCGTAATGGATATGCACAATTCAGTTTTGAAGAATTTTTATCTTCTGCTATGTCTATAATTATTTGATAAAATATATTTATAAAAAGAAAAACAAATCAAATGGTTACTGTACAAAAGAAAAATACAGATGGTCATTATCAATAACTTCACTTCTATATGGTAATTGTTTTTGTTTGTTTGTTAACTTTGTTTATTTTATTTAGTCTTCCTCCTTTTATTGAACAAACGAAAGAAATAAACATGATTAGAATTTCTTTAGTAAACCTAAATTAACTTTAATTTTATTGCATTACTTTACGCTAAGGAATTCCGTAGAACTCTTCGATTGTTGTTTCTGTTATGTAAACTTTTTTTAAGCTTATCATTATGACACAATTTTGAGTTGGATTTTTGTACTTGCTTCAATTTTTGATTACTATTTTTTTCTTTTCTATTCAGCTATTTTCTGTTGTTTTTGTTTGGAGAAGAAACTGATATTGTTTTTTACTTGGTTGTCTTTTTGTTTACTTTTTGTGAATATCCAAAATCATTGCATAAACCACTTACTTTTTCATTCACTTGATGATAGGAGTTTATAATCGATATGAATCATTCAATCTATAGCTGATTGATAGTTAAATAAAAGCACGGTGCATATGTGTAGCTCACAAATATGATCGTAATTTCGTATACAATATACAAGTTTGTTAGGGATATGAGTTAATTAATAACTTAAGATTTCTTTTGAATTATAGTACAACAAGTCTTATCCTTTCTAATAGTTTCTTTAAACTTTTTATTTATTATTTATTTAAATACGTAAACATTGGTACAAGAAGGCATCAAATAGATATGCGCCACATAAATCATTCGGTTTATGTGGGGGCTGGAATACTACCCGGGTGCCCAAGCCGAACCACGTGGTTTGCTTAGGGGGCCACACCTCAAGCCTTCGACTTAAAGGTCTAATCCACAAGGCAATGGAGTATCGTAAGCAGATGCAGTCCCATTGTAGCTGGTGACTAATGATTGGTTCATACGCCATTGGTTCCTTCAGGATACTGGAGCCTATGTGCACCATTGGTTTCGAATGAGGGTTTTTCGACTCCCTTAGGTGGACTCTCCGTGTCCATCAACCTGGTCAAAGCGCCGGTCATTCGCTTTTCGTCTTCTCGATTTCGTAAAGAGTAGTAATGCCACGAAAAGGCAATGAGTAGGACTTATGTGACAGTGGTTGTATGCACGTGTCCATATGAGAGCATTTGGAGAGGGAATGGTTGACTCTCCCGACTCGGCTGTACCAGAGCATTTGGGTGCAGACTTTTTGTTTACTCTACAACATATGCTAGGCTGGTAGAACCTGTCGGTTCAAATGGAGATTTTCACTACTAAGAGTTGTGAATTGAGGAAGAGAACTTCACCATGGAGAACAGTATGTTGCACAGTTCATAAAATCCAGGATACAAGGTACTTAGGTTGAGTGTATAAAATCACTCAAAGTAGTTTGATGTATCGCCTAAGATTTTCGCATGCGACTGATAACTCAAAAGCTCATCAGACTAAAATATTTTTAGGGTTTGTTTTACAAACATCCAATACATGAGGTATGAATTGGCGAGTTTAGAAACTAATTGGTAACCCCTTAGAAGGAAGCCTTACTGACAAAACGTTTTGGAAATTAGTGTGGATTGTAATATTATACAACTGTTAGCAAAGTTAGATATAAGAATCTTTACTGAGTTAATATAGGAAATCCGGTTTATCAACATACCAGTTGTCACTCCAATACACAAAATTACTTGGGGGAATACGAAGCACCCATAGACGTACTTATTCGAACCCAAGTATCCCTTGTAATTCAGGTTTAGTACCAAGATTAACTAATCGTATCGCTTGGTCTCATGAAGTGCATGCGACAAAGAATCACCCTGATTAGTGTCAATTGATCTAAATTTAATTAATCCTTTTTCTTCAAAACGCTGCATATAAGTAATGTGTACTTTAAATTTACGTTGTTAAATCATATGATATATTTTGATTGCATCTTTTATCTTTCAATTGAGTGACAATAAGGCTAAGAAGTAAACAAGTGTTTTAATTAACGTGGTGAAGTGTGGTTTATGACAAAGTTTATTTTCCATAAACGCGTAATATGAATACAACACACAGGAACTGGATTTCTTGTTTACTGAAACTCAACATAGCCTATCCAGGACGTAGTTAATCACGTGGACAGAACAATATGTATAATTACAGATCAAATAACCTTTCTTGTCTAGTCACTGACAGATCAACAGGAGTTTTAACTATGGGATCATCATTTTCCACTATTGTTACTAACTGGGAACTAATTTAGTTGTTGACCAACAGTCTGTTTGAGGAGCGCAGATAGCAACCGTGTTATTACAAAACGAGATGGATTAGAACCTTTTGAGCATTCTAACACTATACCATATAGCACTAAGTTCATAAAAAGACCGCATTTCTTGACCGTAAACTTTCATTTCTCGACTATTTGTTTGAAAGAAAACAGTTGTTTCAAAATTAGTGTATTCCTTAAGTCCAAATATTCTGTGAAATATCTAGATTACAGATTAGCACACGTTTTATCAAAAAAGATAATAATCACTAAGTATCTGATTAGTTGAGTTTACCAACCAATCATAACTGAAGGACAAAGATATCGAGTTGGGAAAAATGATCGGTCAACGTAAAGAATGGATGAAATCGATGGTAATTCCATACCGCCAAGGAAATTAGAAGGATCCTAGACCATAAGGATATAAGTGTTCTCCAGAATGACATTTATTTTAAAGAGAGTAAGAACAAAGGTTGGTGCAGAATAATATGAATTCATTTTATTTCGTTAGGTTTTCATCAGCTGCTTACAACCTAAAATATTTGAAATTCAACGTTATTATAGATGTCTGTTAGGACGGGGCCTAACGGACTTCCCATTGCTACACCATCGGTTTGTCGGTATATAGTATTGTTGAAATGGAACTGAACATCTTTTGTACACAAGAGTAATAGTCGTTTGAATTCTATTGCTGGTAGAGGTAGGATATCAGGATGTTGACAAATTATGTCTATGGTTTCAAGAAGTGGTATTTTTGTAAACAACGATGTCACATTTTCATGGCTAACCTCGAAAGAACCAAGCTCAAAGGAGCGATTGATGAAATGATGTATTATTCGAGGTATGTTGATGATACATTCATCTTATGTAATAATCAACAACATGCAACAAATCTGTTACAGTTTTTCAATGAAGCTCATCCAAATATTCATTTCACTATGGGACATGAAAAAGAAAACATGTTCCATTTCCTCGATATAGCGATAAAACGAAGAAAGGATGGCACAGTTCAACGCTCAGTTTATAAGAAAGACACATGGAATGGTATTTATCTCAATTTTAACAGCTTTTGTCCAATCAATTATAAAAAGGCACTTGTCAAAACACTGTTTCATAGAACAGAAAGAATATGTACTGCCGATACAACAGAAGAGGAAATTATGAATGTTAAAAAGTGTTTAAGAAATAACGGATACCCATTGAAATTCATTGAGAAATATGGAAAACGTGAAGATAAAATACCCAAAGAAACTACAGTAAATAAAAAACCTGTTTTTATTCAACTCAAGTTCAAAGGCGATAATGTCACAGGGTCAATCAATATGAGACTAAAAACTGCACTGACAAAAACATATCCTGCAGCTAAATTGATTGTCCTGTGCAAAATGACATGTTCTTTGACACAATCAAAGGTCGACAGGTATCCCTTTCATGTTACCACCAACTGTGTATACAAATTTACATGTATCTGCCAAAGCAGTTACATTGGTAGAACAGAAAGGAGAGCCTACGTCCGATTCAAAGAACATATTCCGAACAGTTTGAGATCAAACGGACTAAAAGCATTTAGCAGCGCTGTCGCAAGACACCTCCTTGACACAGGACACGAAGTCGATATACTGAAGTCCTTCAAGGTGATCAACAAACAATCAAATTCAAACCTTTTGAAATTCGCTGAAGCAATAGCAATCAAACGTTTAAAACCAGATCTTTGTATACAAAAAGAAACAGTAATAAATCTTTCTTTGCCCTGGTAACATTCACATTACCCCCTTTTATTTTATTTATTTTTTATTACGTCATTTCAACTCTTTCTGAATTTTATAATTACACCATTCATAACTGACCAACTTCAATTCATATCTCTCTTCATTAACATTAATCTATTTTCAGTTACTTCATTACATAATCGTGTAATGTGTTTTAATTCCATGATTTCTAATCACTATTTCAATTTTCTGGAACCTTCCCTCCCAAACTCTATATATTCGAAACAAAAATTTTATGACCTCAATCACTCTAACGAAATCTTTACCACATTATGTTACATATATTCATCCTTCATCGCCCTCTATTGTATAAGTATGTCAATATCTGTAATAATGTTGAATTTTAAATATTTTAGGTTGTAAGCAGCTGATGAGAACCTAACGAAATAAAATGAATTCATGTATTATTCTGCACCAATCTTTGTTCTTGCTCTCTTTAAAACAATAAAGGGAACTATGTGTATGAAATTTTATTTTAAATGTAAAGAGTGGAGTACTAAAGGAGAAGCAACAGAATTATGTCTCTAAAACCAAGTATACTGACTGTAATGTTATAGGCAAGACATCACGACAACTCAATATGTCGGCGAAGGAATGTTAACTTTACTTCATGTGTGTTTTTAAACCTTCAAATGATACCAGGATTCTTGAAAACTTTATTATATAAGTTTACATTCTGTAAATAAGGATATACAGCCGACTTTGACCCGAGAAAAATTTTCATAAAATGTTTTGCTTCTTGTAAATAACGAGTGACAGCTAAAGCGCTATATTAGCGAGCTCGAAATGTTATATCTAGAGCTTAAATTATTATTATACTGAGTACAACTAGAGCACTCGAACGCTAGGACCCTTCCAAGTCGAAAATGAGAAGACAAGTGAAAGGAATGCTATTCCAAAACAGTGTCAATTATGGTACAAAACTCTGAGGTTTTTAGTAAACACGAAGTCACTATAGTCTTCTAATCCGCATACAGGTTATTAGCATTTGTCTAATAGGGAAGGTACATGTAAGGATTCTGGAACATTCTTCCAAAAGATGATTGAATGGAATGTCTTCGGCTCTTTCTGAGCTCCTTCGAATTCACCCGTAGGCCGTCCTTCCACAACCATCTAGATTAACATGATATGGTATTGTTAGCTGTACAATGAGAATATTATCTATAAATTTCACACAATTTTTCTCATTGATAATTTCGAGTAAATCAATATCAATAAGCTTAGCAGAGTAAGGCTAATTTGTTTATTTCGCAGATTCTCATCATATCAATAATTCTTATTCACAACCAATGGACATACTTTATTCTATATTAATGCAGATAAATAGAATAACGACAAGAATTATGAAGTGGTGAATTGAACAAATACTTATATTTCACTAACTATGAATATTCTTGAAGAAAATAATCATGGATCCGAGAATTGAAATAA